TTAGTTGGGCTTTAGCTTTAAATCTCCATTGGATTTGCTCATTCACTGCTGTCCATATAAAACCATCACACTGTTTAGCACAATTAGGCTTGATTGTTTAAACAGTCTGGATTGAAATAGCATTAATTAGCTATGTCATGCTATTACTCATTGTCCATAAACTTGCTGTTACCATTCAGATCATGCCTGAATTTACTGGCAGAGCAAAACCTGAAAAACCTATCAGACAAAGTATACTTTATGGAGCAGTTTTATTTTTTGCTTATTCATTTTTCTGAGGAAATATATACTATGATACTTTGAAAAGCTTTTTAAACCTAAAATGGGGTAAGGAAAGAAGGGGAAGAGCAAGATAAGACCGAATTTTATTTGTTTTGGTTAATATGTAGCTTTGAAAACAGGAAACCTTTCTATTTTTCCCTGTTTAATAGTCCGTGTTAAAATTTCTAAATTGAGTTCCTGGGTGCACAGAGTTTGTCTTTGCCTCTTACAGATATCCCAATCCAGCAATTTTCAGACACAGTATTTACTTTCCTTCTCACAGATGTTTTACTTTGCCTTGCTTTTATATTCCATTTTTTCTTTTTAGCTCTTTTATAATAAGCACGTGAACTCAAGAAACACAGAATAGTCAAAATTAAAATTTAACTAGTTCAATGAAAGCAATACGAAGTCAAGCACAGAGGAACAAGTACACCATGCTTATTGTGATTCAAGTTACTTCAGAAACAAGGCTGAAAAAAATGCCAATATTTATGTTCATTTACATAAACAAGTCCGTGTTTGTGTATAGTTCATTTTTTAAAAATTTAAATGAAAATAATTTTCTAGTTGTAAAACCCAGACAGTATAAGATCCCTAAGTTCATCTAATACCAATAACCCTATGCTTTCCCTACATTCTGCTTTGTGTTTCGCTGGTGCATCAGCTTGCTCCTTGGGTGTGAGCAATTACTGTCATAAGGCATAAATCTGCTTTATAAAGCGACAGTTTAAGCTCAGGATTCTTAATGCTGGGCCTCTTAGCATAATGGTTTCTTAACATAACACTTGGAGAATTACCCATGTGGATCAAAAAGAAGTCTTGAGTGAAAAATTGTTCTGTGTTCCAGAGGAGTCTCTGATTGGCTTCGTACTGCTTAAGCATATAAACTGCTGTTATTTCATTCAGTACTAAAACTTGTGCTGAGCTCATGTAAGAACTTCATTTAAAGACACCAAGAATACAGGAAAAGATTAATGCCTGTAGTTTAACAGACTGTCTTCTCCTCTCACTCAATTTTTTTATAAAAAAAAAAAAAAAGTAAATGCAATGGAAAGGCATAATGGCAAACAATAGCTCCGCCTTTAAGACATGAGCCTCTGCATTTGTTGGGAAAGTTTCCTTCTGTAAAACATGTTGATACGTTTAAAGAATACATTAAGTTAAACTAGAATTTTCTAGCCCTTCAGTGTGGGGAAAAAAAAAAAAAGCACCCCACTCACAAAAAGTAGCCCTCATTGAGAAGCTTCATCTTTCCTTATGTAGACGATGTAGTGAAGGCAAATGGGGTATCTACTGCTTTATTTCCTTGTTAGGACTATAGGACTTGCAAATTTTTGTGTAATTGCCATTATTGAATCCTGTGGAAATTTCCATCTGTTTGGATGCCATGGTCATCAAATTCTAGTCCCTGTTTTGTTTTTGACTCACTGATAAGCTTGGCAAGCTCCACTGTCCTTCCCTAATCACAAAGGAGAAATATTGGCTTCTTGAGTAGCTGGTAGAATTAATGCCTGATGATTCAACAATTAGTGTAATCTTTATGCAGCAATTTCCACTGTTGTCCAATATCCAGGATGAATCTCTTCATAAAGACTATCAAATATTTTAAGAATTTGTAACAGTCAAGAGCATGAGATACACGTCTAATCAGAACTTTCTGAATGTAAATCACACTCATGCAATGCAGATGGATTTTCTTGGTAAAAGAAGTCAGTAACACTAACTAGGAAAAATTCATTCTGTTGAACATATAGTACTTTTAATATGCTCAGATTTTGTTGGGTGCTCTTAGACTGTCGTTTTAATTTAGGTTTCCAGACACAGCTCAACCACATCCTGGATGCAAACCATACCACAACTATATGTAATTTTGATCCAGAAAAATTATTTGCAACCATCAAGGGCTACATGGGTATCTTTTTTTAATTTCCTTTCAATACTATTGACATCCAAGTCTTCACAGATGTGGTTTAGTCAATAATTTTTACTGGCATTACTTGTATGGCTTAGAAGAGAGTGAGTCACCTACCAGACATAACAACTGTATTAGGAAGGATACTATTTGTCACACTGATCTTTGCCTGCCTTCACAGCAGGAGATGAGAAGGCAGCTTGCTTGACTTTGTGATTTTTTTTTTTTTCTCTGATTTGGCTAAATCTAGTTCTATTGAAGCCAGTGGAAATACTTCCCTCATCTCACATAGCCTTGGCTCATGCAACTTGTCACAAATGTCTGTTTTATTTCTGTATCTGAGATATGCTTTCATTCAGAAATCCCAGCAAATATTGTAAAATCCTTAACATTTATATTAATTTATAAAGGAATCCCTCCATCATTTAAAAAACCTCCGAAGTCTGTAATTAGTACGTGAATAACACGAAGCACATTTATCAGGAGAAGATTTCTGAAAATCTGAATCAGGACAAGACTGAAAAAATTTAAGTCTGTGTTAAGGCTGAAAGCAAGAATGTGTTCCTTCCTTCCTTACCTTCAGCAGTTGTCCCTGATGGTATGGATTAGTTAGTGAAGGTATGGATCTCCTTGGTATGGATTAGTTAGCGAAGGCTGGCATATAAATTCACAGTTTTGTCTCACTGGGAGTTACTTTTTTTTTTTTTTTGTATTTCTAATATATTTTAAAATTAGAATTCTGAACTCTGTGTTCAAGTTTTTTCTCCTGTTTGCGTTTTTACAGTCTAAATCAGCTACAGGAAATTAAAGGACAAACGCTTGCTTTGGTGAATCATAATCTGTTTTATCACCTAGACCTTGGTGGTGGAATATAGGATGGGATGAGATACACAATGGATGAGCTGCCACTTTTTCTACAGCTGAATGTCAGTAAGATGGAGACCTTCCTGCTTCAAGGTCTCAGCATTAGCTAAAGAAAATTTCCTTTAAAGTAACACATGAGTTAGAGCAGTATAAACAGTAAGGCTGCCAATTCATTGCTATAGACTTCTGTCAGGAATCTGAGTGAACTTGGTACTCGATTTTGACATACATGTTTATTTTACACCACAAGGTTTGCTTTTTCCAATCATACTTCTCCTCAGGGTTTATTTAGTGTTGCCAATACTAACAAAACTATTTGTGTGGTACCTGCTGGATTATTATCAAAGACATCTAACAAGTCATTCTACACCCTCTTCTTAACGTATTTTTAACTCAACTACATAAACAGTTAACTTATGCCTTAAGTAGTTGCCTTCCAAATCCCAAATCACTTAAGAATTCTCTGATTATGTATTTACTGGATGTCACTTCTTAAATTTTGTTTTCTCAACATTATTAGAGTGAAATGCTCTGGCTATCAGAACGTACTAGTGGTGTTTCATATACCGCAGTCATCCCACACTTGTCTGGGCCTCTCATCCTTCTTGTACTGCTTTTCCTTGTCAAAATTTTCTTTGAAGACAGGGTCATTTGCTAAATATTTTATTTGGTGTTTGCTTTTTGATGATGGTTTTTTTTTTGGGGGGGGGGGCAGGAGGGTGTTGTGTTGGTGAGGAGGTAGGGGTAGGGTAATTGGCCACTAACTTTATCTCTTAGGACTCCTGAGGTGGACAAACAGAATGTTTTTCAGCTTGGTAAACTAGAAAAACTAGTTCAGTGTTTAACAAGCAAGAAAATCAGTGCCTATTTGCATGCTCTTTCTGCTTTATGATACTCTAAATTTACTAGATCCCTAAAGTAATCTCATTTTGAGCTTAATATGCTTAACAGTTTATACCATCTCTGCTTTATTTTCTGCTGGCTATCATTGATCAATGCTGAGAATTCCTGCAGACTCTTGTGTATTTTAGCATTTTTCTGTCATGACTATTATTATGCATTGTGTCTTCCAGGGACAAATTTCACATGGGATTGGTGAACAAACGTTTTCTGCCAAATTTCATGAGTGTTTGGCAAAGTGACAGTATTAATTGAAAAAATCTGCTGGCAGTTCAAGCATGCTAATGTAAACAGGGTCACTTTTTGTTTCCAGCCATGTATTCTAGCCATTTAGTGACAGGATTTTAGTTCCTAGTCATATGAAAGCTCACCTGCTGAATGACAGGTTAAGTCTTCCTTCAGGAAGAATATTATTCCCATTCCAGACAAAAATAGATTAAGTCAGCTGAAGTTGTCCTTCTTCTCAAGAAGACTGGTTTTGATTTTGTGATTTGGGAGGGGTCTGAGAGAGAGTAGGGTAGGCAAGTTTTCCTTTGAGATGGTCATCTACCAGGAAAACGAAGTAGGTGAGGAGATACGTAATTTTCCATCACCACACTTAAATAAGGATTTCCAGATTTTCAGTATTGACATTTCTGCATCATCTGCCTAAAGGACAAGCACAGGCCTCTCTTAGCCTTAAGTGATTTATGAGTTGCATGATACCAAATTGTTGGTGAAATTCACTTGAGCAGATACAACTGCAGGCTCCCTTTAAGATGATAAGCAGGCTTCTATTCTGTTGTAAAGGTATGTTGTTATTTTTATATTTAAATTCAGGTGTGAAAACTATGGAGGAACACTTACTGTAAGGAGCTATGATCACCAGTTTTATAATAAGAGAATTTAATTGAGAGCCTGCATAAAGACTGTTGTATTTCACTTGCTACAAGGGCAAATTCTCATCTGCTGTGTTTGCTGGGACAGATGATGTGCAGCTGCGATGTGGTTGTCCTTTCCCCTCGCACTTCTAGGGAAAAAGAATCACAAGTGGGACGAGCCCAGGGCTCTGACAGTTTACCTCATTTGGTATTGTTAGCCTCCAGGCCCTGATGCTTGTACTTTGCTCTCCAGCTGAGTAGACTTTCTTGCAGTCAGAGGCAACAGTTAGAGCTGAGCAACCTGGCCAGAATATTTTAATATTTAGCACTGAAAAGCTATTTCTAGTTCAGAGTGGGCTTCTAATTTAAAGTAGCCCTGCTGGTTTTGATGGGATGGGGAAAACACTTAAGCCTTGCTTTAATCCAGTTAGTCAGTACACGTATCAGTAAGAAGGTTCCAGCCAGGACTCAGGATAATTAGGCCATGTATTAATGTAATGCTTTTTTTCTCTTGTTAATACCTGAGCTAGATATCTTCAATTTATCCTGAGTAAGGATATGTTTGCTGCAGTCATGCTTCTGACTGTGGTGTAGATATAGCCTATGACTCTCATTTCTCAAGGGGATTAGTCAAGTTTTCCTGGCATAAATAGAAAAAAATAATGACTATGTCTAGTTTTCTTCATTATCTCCATCATTTTGCTGCTGCTGTTAGGCAACATGTCAGCATTTAGCCATAAACATCTATGCCATGTAAAAGATGTATGCTGACTTATAAACATCACGTTATATTGTAAGCACACATATGATTTCAGAGTAGTGGGGTTTTTTTGTTTGTTTGTTTGGTTTTTTTTGTTTTTTTTTCCTTCATGACTGTAGGTTTCTTTTTGTGACTGAGACTACTTGTCTGTATCCCTACTTTATTCTGTTTTTACTAATTGGTCCTTGCTTTAGAAGTAAATCAAATTACACAGATTTTTTTGTTTGTTTTAATATATAAACAGTATTTCTGGAAAAAAAACCTAAAAAACAAAAACAAAAACCCCAAACCTACTAGTTATCATCAAAAAGAGAGAAGCACAGAGCTGTTATTGTGACAATTTTACTTGATGGAAAGTAATGTGAGTCTGTGTGAATTTTACTAAGAAGGAAGAAGGCAACAAGACTTGACTTGTTTGTATAAAATCCCTGTTTGTGAAAAAGCTTTCAAAAACTAATGAAAACTTGATCCTTTTTAATTAAGCTGCAACTTAACAATTGAAAGGAAAAATGGCTTGGAATAAACTGATTAAAAATTTAGAAAGGGCTATTATGGAATTTTCCCTGAATTTAAGTCTTGTGATGTATTTGAGTCAAATCAGTATGTGCCACATTCACAATTTATACCAGCTGACTTCAAGTGTGCTTCATTAGTGTAATGCCAGTGAGAATTTTCCACTTACTGAAAACCTAACAAATGCATAAGAAGATTTAATAAGATTTTAATGCACATTAATCTAAACAATGAAGAATCAAAAATAACAATGAAGTTCTCACTTATAGTGCAATTGATAGTTAGTGATTCACATAGCCTAGAATCCCTATATCTTTTTTGAGATCTTAAGGGCTGTTAAGCATAGGAAATTTACGTACAATGTATTCCTCACAGCGTTTCTGGGAGGAAGCTCAAACCTGTCTCTGTTCATAGGCTATCTAGTTAGAACCTAACCATTAGTCATGTTAGCGCATTGGTAAAATCCATCTTAAAACCAACAGATTTATATGAAATAAATTCTAGTGCTTCAATACATCAGTCCTTAAGATGGGTTTTGCATGATCTTGAATAAACTTGTGCTTTAGAGAAGCAGTGTGCATATTTTATGCAATGCTTAATAGTAAGTTGTTTTTCTGTAAAATGTAAATGGATTCAGAGTTTTTGTTTTATTGCTGTCCCTGGTAATGACTTATTGTTTGTTCCTGGGAGCAGTGAAAGGCTTCTTAAAGTGAACGTTTCTTTTTAACATTTCTACATAAATGGGCTGATTCTGATCTCATACTTTTTCTACTTCAGTGACTTCAGTGCTGCTGCTATTGTTTTTATGCTATCCAAAGTCATGATCTGGCTCAGCAGGAAACTGGAAACCTAAAGTTCAAATAATTAGCATTAGGTGAACATTATTTGGGGATCGGTAGTAATTCAAACTAAGATTTTTGATCTTTTTATTCAATTAGTTAAATTTTATTAAGAGACACAATGAATACGGGAGTTGATAGTCCTGTTAAGCTATGTGTCTTCATCCAACTTCAAAGCCAAGTTTGAAATTACTTCCAGTCTGCAACTTTTTTAGTAGTCAGACTGAGTTAAGCTGGTTGAATAAAACCACAAATGTCACTAATTAATGGTAGTTTACCATAATAATTAAAAAATCCTAATGTTGTCAAAAAAGAGAGTAATGTGCAATGGACACAGAAGTCAGATAAATTAGTGTGCTCTTCAAATAGCTTCTGAAGTTTCTTTGCAGCTCTGACACTACAAATCTATGAATATGTAATCATTTTTAATTAACATAAACCTTTGTGAATTATAATGTCAAATGAGTGAAAGATGAGGATTCAGCATAAGAGTTTTAAGCATTTTGTAATGAGTGATTTAAAAAGGAATTATTTGGTGACAGAGATGGGAATCTCAGTCTACATTCTATGCTCCGTTAATCTTGAGCAGTATCTTAGGCAATATAATAATATAAATATAGTGACAGGGAGTGTCAAATTTGGGATTGTTGTTCCATGAAGGAATATTGAGAGGTTTCAGTTGTTTTCTGTTATAAGATAGGTTAAAATGTTGAAATGCTGAAATTTTAATTATGTTTGTAGAATATTGTTTCCAAATTGTAACATTATTGATTATACTCTTAAAAGCAATTAGATTTTTAGGGAGTGATTCAGCTGGCAAATCACACTGGTCTGGCATTGCCTTAGAAGTACTACACAATCACATCTGGACTTCAAGGGCTGCCTACAGAGGGTGGAGAGCCTCAACCACGCACGTTGTCCCAATAAGCATGTCTTACCTTAGAGAATTAAAATGGCATTAGATGCATATGTTTAGGCAGCTGAACACCATTGTTACAATCATATGTGTAACATGCTTATAATTTCTATTGCTTTACTTTTATATCTTGTAGAAATAATAAATTTTAAAGTTATAAAATTAATTCTATGCAGAACTTAATGAGGTAGAGCATTTGATTAATTTACAGTTGCTTTCATGTAGAACAGTTTGCTATGGGAATTTTTTTTAATCTTTACTAGCTCTTTGTGGTGCCTTAGATATTTCAGATGACAGACAGTAGCACTAGATATTAACCAGTTAGGTAGTTTAAAATGCTCAGAATGTTAATACAAGTAGCAGTTCAAGAAATGAAATTCAGCAACAAGAAATGGAGTGAAACTTGTACACTGTTTTCAGACAGGATTTTTAGCACTGTACAAATGATACTATGCAATAGGCATATAAGACACATGGACGCTTTATTTCATATAAGTAGGAAAATGAGGATGCTTATGAAGAAAACTGGCACTGAAAGGAAAACTAGGAAAAAACTGAAAATGCAATATGTGGGAAAGATATAGTGTTCCAGTCCTATGAAGAAACAAGTACAATAAACCATATATTTGGACATTTGTGTAACTTCCATCAACATGCTGTTGGGCTGCCGTTACAAAAGCTTGCTGTAGAACGTAAAATTTCTGTCCTTCTCTTTAGTGATCGTTAAGGAGAAGATATGGAGTCAAACCTAATGGCTGTGAACATATGATACTGGCAACATGAAAATAAAGACAGGTTATACGAGTCAAAAAATTCTTTTGGAGTCAGGGAGCAAGTCAAGTCTACTCCATAGTCACAGACCCCCACAGCCATGTGGGCAACAGCCACCTCAAAGGACTTGTAAATGTAAGCTGAGACCTCAGAAAAATGTTTTCTACTGCCTGGTGTAAGAAAAATCCAGAAAGCCGGCAGAGAATTCTCCGTTACTCTGGCAGCCTGCCTCTGAGCCTGGGAGTGATGGCTCCAGCCATGCCTGTGCATGTGGAATCACCCTGCCACCATTCCATGGTCTTCAAATGCTTTCTGTCAGTGTTGCAAAGAACAGGTATGCACCCAGTCCCTGTGGTCCTGTGTCAAGTAGTTCATATTGCCTTAGCCAAGTCGATGATGACTCCTGCAATTTGGGTCCAGTCCCCCTCTGTGATGACTTGCATATGGTATGGGGACAGTACCAGTAGTTTAGCTCACAGAGATGTTGTAATGTTTAGCATCTACAGTAGGTTACATGTGTAGAATTATCTGATTAGAGAAGCCCTGCAACTTTTAATTTTTGAAGCATTTTACAATCCTTATGTGATGTTACCCTCCACCTTTTATACTGGAAGAGATTGCCTGGCTGGTGCATAACTGTTGTAGTATGTCCTACTGGAACAAGAACAAAAAGACAAAGGGAAAAAAGGAAGAGCCTATTCACAAATTAATTCTCATGAAGAAAACCAATGCTTTATCACAGGAATGAGAAAATCAAGAACTGGTTCTCCAGCACAAAGAAAAGGAATGTTGACAGAGTAAGATGTATCAGCACAGACTGAGTCACATTATTTTTCTTAAAATTGTAGACACTAGTTTCCCCAATTTTCATAGCTCAAGCATTAAAATTAGAATGTAGTAAAGACAGAGAAAGTACATGTATGGATAAATATAACTGCTGTATTTAATCTTTCACATGGAGAAAAAAATAATGAGAATACATTGTGAAAAGATCTTTGTCAAGCATTACTGACAGAAGCTGTAAGACAATAAGCTTAACATGCAAATAGTGGCTCTCATGCATCATTCCAGTCTCCTGTTTGTCAGTGTAGGAGAAATACAGTATGGTAGACATAGGAAATCAATGCAACTGCCACGCTTTAAATACTCTGAGCTTCTAAAGGTCAGACCATCCTGGTTATTCTGCATTCTCTCACTTCTGTTACAGCTTCCCTCTGCTGAGTTCGTCTTAAAAAATGAGAAAAATCTTTAAGCTTATGCATTCTTTGTCCCTCCTTCAACTTTTGTAATGCTGTTACTCATGGCACTTCAGTAAATACTTTCGTTATAAATATGTGATGCAATCTTGTTTGTTTGTTTGTTTGGGTTTTCTTTGTTTTCCCCTTAAGAAATCTCATACTTGAGGAATTTCTGAGAAAGTGCCAAAGGGTCATCTTTTCGTTGCATGTTTGTACATCACCTGCTACTACATCTGTGCATCCCATGCATAAGGGATGCACAGATATCCAGATATGTGTGCTTGATACTAAGGCTATATTAATGGTAGCGAAACAAAACTGATTTGGCAGTTGAATTTAAGTAGTAATCATTAAT